CACCTTACGTGTTTTTTATTTGAAAAATTCCAAATTTTAATCAAAACTATTTCTAGCGTAAAAAAAAGTGTTTGAAAATTGTAGTATATTTATACAGTTAACTGCATATGTATTATTAAAACAACTTAAATTCACCTGCTTGGCCATCATTTTGAAAATTCATAGATAGGTTTTATGTCAAATACAGTTTAAGTACTGCCATTGAAATTTATTCAAAAGACGTTTTTGAAGTACTGTTACCTTGCAAAGGCTAGAAGTTGAAAAAAATATGATGCTTCAAAAGAAAGTGCTGTAATAGAATAAATTGTAATAGATTTTTTCAATTTTAATTCAAGCACTAGATGAAAAACATATTTTTTTAAAATTAAATTCGAAATTTCTATCAAATAGTATTATGATACCTTCCTCTAGTATTGAGAAAATTGATGGTTAAAAAATATTTTGAACGATTAATATTTTTAAAATACTTGTGAATTTTTGTACTCAATTTAAAAACTTAAACATCAGGACGAACACTACTACTTTGTCCAAAAACCGAATTTTGGAGACGTATAGGCCCAATGACGCATCGGGTTGACCCAAAAAGAAATTCACTTCATAAAAAAACAACTTTGATTTAAAACTATAGACATAAGTAAAGATACATTCACTCGAAAATAAAGTTTAAAACTGTATTACTCGAACGCGCACTCCGATGAGAGTAACAAGTGCTTTCCCTGAAATTAAAACATCTTCGATGAGATGATGTGGATCATTTTAGCCTTAACATACGAGCTTGGATCATTTTCAAAATCACGAAAGTACACATCTTGATGTTGTGGAAGTACTTGTACTCAAACCAAGTATTTACTTGTACAATAAAGCCATTTAGTATATATTCTGGTTATCCCGAGTATATAAGTATGAAAAATAGTTTTCTCAATAAAGGAACGAACTCGAAAGAAATTTTGCCCAAAGTCAAAGGACAATGAGATTACGTGCATCGCGAAAAAGTTACATGTACAAAGCCGACCGGCGCAACGGACCCTCAAAGAGATGCGGCAAATTTCACTTTTTCCACCCGCTGTAGGTCTTGCTTTTTTCCCCTAGGAGAATTTTATTTTTGGTCCCCGCATGAAAAAAAAAAAAAAAAAAAAAAAAAAAAAGAATGATACTAGTTAATGATTCTAAATCACTTGCAGTCCCTTAAATTCGTTTCTATCGTCAGGGTAATACTTAATATACTCGATTTATACATTGGATGCTAAACTTATAAACTATTTTAAACCTGAGGCAATGAGAAAAAATTTCCAGCTAACTCAATATTGGAATTAGTTCACTTGCAAATGAATATGAAGTTTAAATCCATATACGATGANAAAAAAAAAAAAAAAAAAAAAAAAAAAAAAAAAAAAAAAAAAAAAAAAAAAAAAAAAAGAGAACAGTAGAACTCGTGCTCAAACGGATTTGGAAGTCTGAGAGGGAACTTCAAAGAACAGCCGGGGCCGACCAGCGCAAGAGCCGATGCATCAGCAAGAGAACGAAATGAGCGCGAAAGAAAGGATAAGTAGCGTTGGTAGTGAAAGGAGTCGTACAGTAGATGAACAAAAAAAAAAAAAAAAAAATTCGCGTTTTTGCTTTGACGGCCTCCCAACCCCGTTACGGGTTCCCCCGGAAGCTCTTGACACTCCTCACCTCTTGGCTTCCGCAGTCGCGCCTCTGGATCTCTTGACTCGCTCTTTTTTCTTTTGCATTTAACTCGTGCCTTTACCTGTGTGACTACTTGACGCGTATCGAGTATCATTCGTCCAAGTTGAGGGACTAGATGACGTATCATTTACAACGACCTGCTTTTTCGAATGGACTTTATTTTTTTTATTTTATTTTTTTTTTTTCTTTCCGTGATTTTTGGCTAATAGTATATAGTTTGAAGTTACGAAAGAGAGTATTATACGTGTTTGGCGCAAGACGAGTTTCCGAGCTGTTTGACATTTTTAACGACACGCCTGCGGTGCTGTGGCTTCCACGAGGTATTGGATGCTTCGGCGGGGGATTGAGACGACATGGTGAATTTTTCCCAGTGGAAGTAATACAAGTATGACTATTTGCGTGTATCTTGTTTTTCTACTTTTATACCTGATTTCTGTAAGCATAAATCCCTCGTTTTTTATTTTTTTTTTTATTATTTCCGTATAAATATCTGCATCATCGATACTAAAAATTTATAGTATAGACAATTTTGACAACCAACCAAAAGTGTGAGAATTGATTTTTCAATGATTGGCACAATTGTTTTCGCTTGGACGACTACATTTACATACGTGCTAAAATTACTTGTTCAGAGAACATGTCGAAAAATACTATGTTTTCACACAGTACTAGAGTCGAACTAGTCGAACTAGGTGTTTGTTATTTAAATATTTTTTGGTCATTATTCAGTAAAATTTTCTTTTGATTACTCTAAAAAATCAATACGTCTATTGAACTAGTCGAAACAACATATGCGAAGAAAGGGCCATTCGTAAAGTAGTTTCTCATTTTTGTGTCAATCAAGTATTCCAATATCCCAGATAATTATTTGAACACCATTATAATAAATTTAAAAGCTTTGATCTTTAATGACTTTGTATTATGGAAAAATTACGTGAGAAATAATAATTTTTGATTTACAATTATCACCCAATGAATATACATATCGTTATTTTCGTGAAATCATCAATACAAATAATCTATTCAACTCTATCTCCCTCAACAAATCTCCGCATACACCTGAGCCCTTGACTCGTCGAATCAAGCCTTTTCTGCTTTTTCAGCGACAATCAGTTCCAATGGAATTAATCAAGCATCCGATGTGATTACAACCCACGTTCCACGAAAGAAAGAGGAGACAAAAAATATTACCACAAACGCAAAAAAAAAACCTTCTCTGCTTCACGGTTATCGAGAAAACCATCATCCTTTTGTGGAATCGGCAACAGCTAGGGAACAAAAAAAAAAAAAAATCCAAATACAAATCAAAAGAAGCCGAACAAAAGATAGAAAACTATTAAGAGGGGGTGTATAAAAAGAAGCCGTCGAAGGTTAAGAGAAACACAAAAGGAGTACAAAGCTGGGGGATGGAGGGAATCGACAAAGCGCCTGTAGCAAAAAAAAAAAAAAAATCACGCTTACAGGGCAATAAAAATGATCGTCGTGGTGGCGGTGAAACAAGGTGAAAGTGCACCTGCAGCGTTCTCACGGCTCCGATAATGCGGACTTATCGAAAGCACCGAAACAATTGCCCGGATTTCCAGTGCCTCTCGATATTTCAATTTTTCCTTTCTTTCCTCTCCTTTTTCTCCTCTTTTTGCACCCTTACAGAGCTCTTGATACTCATGTGTTTTTTTGTTTTTTTTTTTTTATTGAAAATTTTCTCGTTCCATGATTTTTATTTTTTCAAAAAAGTTCCATAAAATATTACAAGTGTTGGTATCACGTGCCGCTACTCTGACACATGGAATGGAGCACCTTACGTGTACAAACGCAACGCTCTTACTGTTCAAGAGAGAATACGTAACACAAAGAGCACTTGATTGCGCAACAAAATTTTTTTTCCTTAAAATACAACAATTTTCTGATATTGGAGAACCTGTGACACGAGTATACCGTTAAATCAATAAAAAAAATGCTGTAATAGGGTACAGTAAAATTTTTTATGAAAAATAAAATGCACTTTACCTGTGAATGCCAAGTAGGGTTGCTGTCTAGGACTCTTGAGCTATGAATTCTCGGAACGGGTGGTGCATTACGGGCAGATACTTCGTTCCGGAGTCCTAAAGTGAAACGGGCGGATTTATCGTGGCAGTCGGTGGGCCGCAAAGTTTTAAACAGCAGTGGGTGCAGCGATGAATGTCAGTCTGGAACGAAGGCAAGAAAACGTTTGACGTTACAGCGAGACCGTGTTGCTGACAAATTTTGAGTCAATGGTGCAGTACGCATGATTAGGACGTCCACGTAAAGTGTGGTCACATCATTATTTGATGTGGTGGGAAAATTTTTTCAATTTCAACAATTAGATTTATTGAGCACAAGGTGAAAATACACTCCCCTGGTAGAAGATTACTACATAAGCTGGCTAGAAACTCGTTAAGGTACATGAGTAAATGGGCTTATAACGTGTTGACGAGTTACTAGCCAGTTTATGTGGTAACGTTTCTACCAGGGTCGCTTGGTACTCTTACTCTAGAAACTTGGCGTACGAAAAACTAAATTTTCCGCAAGAAAGCGCAACCGGTGATTCTAACACTCGTGGTATTTTGTCAAATCAAGACTTGTGCGATAATCACCAACTTCATGCACCCGTTTTACGTAATTTTTTTTTTTTTTTTTTTTTTGCTGTTGTCGAATTTTTCAAAAACTGACTAAGATGGAACATAATAGTTCGGGAGTGGGAAAAAAATACGTCACAAAACAAGACACAAAATTTCATATTCTGATGACGCATGCATTATTATCCTACTCCTCAATGATAATTTGATCCAACTCCATCTCTTTTTGTTTTTGTGAAAAAATAAAAAAAATACGTGTCCTATATTTTTTTGATAATCCACCACTAGACTGGTATCTTACAGATTTTTTCATGCAAAATTTCAATTGTGACATACGAATATAGATATGAACTATAAGTATAAGAGTGACAAGTTGTTTGCTAATCGACGAATACAAAAAAAAACGCACCCTGCTATCTCAGAACATAAGTAACTAGGAGCATTAGAACTATCCTATTATCCAATCAGATGAATAAGTGTTTAAGTTCAGTTACAACAATTTAGAGCATCTGTTTTTGCCAGCAGTGTTATTGTTATATTCACTCACCCTCGCGTTTATTCAAATCCACTCATAAGTTTCGGCGAAACAAACAAAAAGTAAGAGTTTCTTCCTCTCCAAACTGCACGTTGTGCGATCCAACAAAGCTCTCTGGTAGCTTTAAAATCCTTTCTCAAGTTTAGACACTTCTATCGGCAAAAAAGGAAAAGAAAAAAAAAACATTTCTAATTTTTGTGCGAAAACTTTTGTTTACCAACGCGGGTGCAAGCAAGTTTCCAGCCTCCCAAATATTTTTCGACCCCCCCCCCCCATCGCTAATAAGCGAGAGCCATTCAGATTTTCCATTTTCCGCGGGAACAACGAGCTACGAGAGCTTCCTCCAGACCGAAAAATCGGCCTCGAAACTCACTCCGGCTTATTATTTTCACGTCAATCCTTTCGAATTATTCTCGCACACAACCGTCCCATTGAATTTCGGGAAGAAAAGAAACACCTTTCCCCCTTTTCTTTTTTTTCTTCTTCTTTCATCCCAACTTCCAATCGCAACCCCTTCCAGAGCCCCTCCACAAATCACATATCGCATCGGTTTTTCAACTTCTCGTACAAACTCCCACGGCAATTTGCGTCCCACGAGTATTTATTTCCAAAGCTCGTTGTCACCAGGCTTTTGGAACCAGTACCCGAAATCCCCCGGTACTTTTACACACGCGAAGGTTCCGACACGAGAACTACACACCCTTCAAATTCCAATACAGAGCACGAGCAAGCACTACTAGCCGTAGTCAACAACTTGTCGGAACTAGTTACAACGCAGCACCGATAAAGGAACGGGATTGAAGCTCGTAAGGGTCATGCAAGCGTCCATTCGACCGGCCCCTCGTGATGGATGCAGGCAGCGATGGAGGGATCCAAAGAGCAGCATAAGGCTCAAAGGGGACGGTGGTTCGCTTGATGGCTGTATTGTCATCCGTATAACTTCGATCTCATGTTTGTCTCCTCTGTGCACCACCTATACATGTATGTATACACTCGATACGGCCTCTCCTCTCGGTGGCGAGAGTGACGGATTCCCGTGTCACGCGTCACGAAGCCAAAAGAGAGTCGTACGTACTCCCGTTTCTCCGAACTCGCTAGACGTATGTACTTCTCCATCCCAGCTTTTCTTCCCCGCTTTTCGCGAGTCGCGACCAATCATCTTCTTGCGAGTCTGGATTGTTTTTTTTTGTTTTGTTTTTTTGTCCTCGAATGCCTCGAATTCCTTCCTCTTCGACATCGGAGGGCTTTTGTTTTTCGACTAAAATCTATGTTTCTTCAAAAGCTGGCGCGATACTCCGATATTGCGGCGTCATTCGCGCGCCACAGTTGTTCATTTACATTTACGAGGTACGAGCTTTATCCCCCCAATCCTCTTTTACACGAGCACCAAGGAAAAATGGCCAACACTCGCAGTTTCGCGCTTCGCGAGTGGAGGCTCATCGCGCGTGGAGTGAGGATCGAAATAAAAAAGAAAAAGAGGAAGAAACAAAAAGGCGGAAAGGACGGCCGTGCCTGTGAATTAATTTTTTCATCTGGCGTTCCTGCACAGTCAGCTCTTTAATTACAGTCCTAGCTGGAAAGTGGATCAGAAATGGAGGAGTTGCGCGCTGCAGCACTCGATGCGGATTGGAATTTCAAGCTTCGGGATCGACGTGTAATGTCGAGAGTGCGAGAGGAGAATAGGGGGAGGGGGGCAAACGGGAGAAAGGATGGGTCTAATAAGCCGAGCGGGGTTTGATTAAAGAGCTTTGAAGCCGTCAATGTGGGGTGGGCGGGGGGGGGGGGGGGGGTTGTTCGACTCGGGAGCCATCGCTTTTTTTCAAATCCAAATGTTGGCGTTGATGCGGAGCGTAGATTTTTCAAGTTTCGCGTGTGTGCCGGCACCAAAACGGTATTGTTGATTTTTGATGAGTGGCCTCGGTTGGAACGGATGTGCGATGAAATTTCAGATCTATAGAAAGGAGAAGGGGACTTCATTTTTACGATATGTAACTGAAATACGTAATCGAATCATTTAAATTATTGGGTAGTTGTTATGCTCATCAGGAATGTGACGTTTGGGGGTACGGGTTGTATTTTTTCATGTGAAAAAGGTAAAGGTTTTTTTTAGTAAAAGTCAATTGTATCCAACGATATTTCCAGATCAATCCACGTGGATTTTCCAGCTAATCTAGGATTTATTTCCCGGCAATTGAAATGGATTTTTCAGACCATCCAGATTTTCAGGTCGATCTACTTAGATTTTTCTACCAATTCCCGTGGATTTTCAGGTCAGTGCAGGTGAAGTTCAAGGTCCCCGTTCAATCTGAAAATCCACTCGGACCGGGTTAAAAAAAATTCACGTGTATTTTGATCTGGAAATTCACCTTGGGTACCTAGAAAGTCCATCTGCATTGGCTGGAAAATCCACGTTCATTGATGTAAATGTCTAGGTGAATTACCAGGTAAAAATATACACCTAGATATTTTCAAATTCAAATCGATCAGCGAAATCTTTGTAATGCATTGAGGTTATGGTCTTGACCACGTGCTACGCATCATCTAACCTACAAAGCTTGGTGCCCAAATTTATCAATTGATTTATCAATCAATTAAAAAACTCAGTTCGTACTTCATGGATGATTGTTCCTTGTACCAAAAAACTTGACACTGATTTTACTTGAACTATTAAGAAATAATCCTAGTGGAAGTAGGAGGGATGATCGCTTCCGGAAAAGGAGAGTGAGTAGTTGGGGGGGTTTCCTTACTCTCATGAAATGTCAGACTTACATGGTTTAGGAAAAAAGCATCAGCATCGTGGCAGTAAATGATGGTACACACAGTATTTTTACAGCTATCAACTTTGTCCGATCGATTATTATTAAAAGTAAGTCATAAGACATGCTATAATTTCGAGGATACCTCGGTTATACTCCGAAATAAAATACAATGTGATTCCTTGGGTTTTATTATTTTTTCCATGCAAAAACTACCATTTACCTAGAAAATCAATAGCTTCAAAGATTTTTAAGATGTCTTCGCATTTAAATTCGAAGCAAAATCGCTGGATACAGTTTTTAAGTTTTTCTCTCTTCTTACAAGACAAGATACATGTGGTAATGAAATTGAGCCAAGAGGGTTAATTCGAGGAGAGAGCTTGTAAAAGGTCGATCGATTATTCCGAACGAGATTCTCATCAAGGGTCTTTCAAGTGGGGCTCATTTAAATCCCAAATCAATCCCTACCTTTGATCAGGCCTTCCCCCCCCCCCCGAAGTTTGCCCAAACAACGAGGTGCAGCTACAAGGCCAAGTTACAAACGACAAGTTCGACTCATCCTTTCTCCTAAAAATAAAATTCCAAAACTCTATTTTCAATTTACAACGCGTTTAAACATTTGTATACGTAAACCGATTGCTCCGATTTATGAAGGATCACAAGGACTTTTAAACAAACGAGCTGATATTACGTGCATCTACTCTGTCCGGAAACTATAGATACTCGAAGGAGATTGCTAATTAGCCTCTGACCCTGAGAGACCCGAGCACAGGAACTTGGCAGTCCATTAAGGCCACTGTATTTATCGGGTCGTGTTGGTTCGACCATCTCGACAATATACACATCCCTTCCATATCCGTTGCACACTTGGCAAAGTTTATTAATGTCAAATCCAACCTTCAAATTTTTTGGTTCAATGTGCAACAATGACAAACAAGTTATATGATAAGAAAACCGAAATGGTGTTTTGTATTTAAATACCCATTGCGATGGAGCTCGTGACTACAGATTATACAGTTTGCACGTATAGTTCGGGAAAATTTAATCCCGGCAATGGAGGATCCTTCAAAACGATAGCCAGCCGAGCATCGACCCCCACTCCGTAAACGCTTTTAAAACGCACAAACACTGTAGCCGATCGATTACTCTTTCTCCGTATAATTAACTCCGTTGGCGAGCAAATTATTGAGCTTTTGATCCCCTTCTAACAGCCATTCAACTTCCATGTGCCTCTGTTGGAGCATTTATTCCTTTGGTGCTTGCGTGGTACTGTTCTGGATATTTTAGCAAAGAAAAAGAAAAATTATGCACTACTTACGGACACTATTGAACGGGATTTGACGCTAATAATCTACGTTCCAAAATATATCAGATACGCGTATCTCAATCAGTTATCTTGATAACCTATCGCATGTAATTGTATTTAGATTGATGCAAAAATCATTGATTCGTTTATATTTTACTTCAGCTGCTCAAAGCTGAGTACAAGCACGTAAATTCGCCTGATATGTCAAAGCTGATAAAATCTTAATTACAAAGGTTCTAACGAGTAACCCGATCCTTAGGATGGGTACAAAAACAATCGTAGATTCCGTTAGTCTGTGCGATCTTCCATAAAAATCTAGAGTTGCCTGGTCAAGAGCCCTTCAAATCGAAACATTCCTGCATGGGAGTTGGAAACACTGAGTAGTTTTATTCACACTCGAGTGCAAAGCAATGATAAAAATTACAGTACTTTGCCTACTCCAAGCGGTTGAACTTCACCACTCAATCGTATTAATATGAAAATCATCGATTCCCGTTGCATTTGGTTGATAAATTTAAAATTACGTATCGGAGTATATAATTGACACGCCGATGCATACAAACAAGTATGTATTTCCATTTCAATTGTATACGTACCCTGTATGAGCAAATGCTCAAAAGCTTTATTCTGGGCATAAGATTGTGAGTAAAAAAAAAAAAAAAAAAATCCTGAGCATCACAACCGATGTATGTAATTGTCGATTTCAATTCGATCTTTCCACCAGACATCTTCATTGAATTTGTGCGCTCCGACGAAAAGTCCTTAAACCAAAGACAGAGAAAGAGCCATCCCAAGAACGGTATATCGGGTCTGGAAGAAATCCAAGCCAAAGGATACGTATATAGATATAAATAAATGACTGGAGCGGTTACCATCGACCGAGTAATTTCGGTAAGAGAGAGAGAGAGATAGCGATGCGCTGATGTAGACGAAACCGCGTTGTCGGATGGAGGGGGGTGGAAGGATTTCAGTGGAATGGAGCAAAGAAATCCACCAACCACTCAACACTCAAAGGAAAACAATACTTTATTTAATTCCCTTTCTCTTTTTTTTTCACCCCCTTCTTCTTTACTCTACGAAATTCACCCGAGCGAAAAAAAAATAAAAATAAAAGAATCAAAAACTCGATACCTCCCCCAAGTTATTTTCCCCGCGCCACTTGACTTGGACTTTGTTTTTCGTTGTTCTGTATTTCTTTTTGGCCAAGTTGCAACGATGGAGGGAAAAACAAAAATTATTCATTATTTAATACACGTGATGTCTCGAGAGCAAAGGACAAAAGAGCTCAAGTGCTGACAACACTTACGGGGTAGAAGCAGATTTTTATTATCAGATTTTCAGTTTCTTTGCGTAGTTTTTTTTTTTTTTTTTTCTTACTGTCGTCGGATTGTCTCGTGCAGGTACTCTGTTACTGAGATTCATACGCACACTTGAGAGTTAGCTTCTCCGTGGCACATAAGCCGTCGTAGCGAGTACAAAAGATCATCTACGCTGTTTGAAACACGCACAGACAAAGACTCGCAAAGTCAGTAGGATGTGTTTTTTTTTTCCCAATCCTTCCGGAGAGATAGGAGGATTTAAAGGGAAAAAAAATTTGTAAAGAATATACTCCGAAGACAATTTTTTTTAACCCTTCAAGATGGTTTTTAATTTAACTTGGTAGCAGGGAGTGAAGACGATTTTTTGCTCAATTATTATAATTGGATGAGCCGGGAGGGAGGATCTGTTTGGTCGGTGATTATAGATGGACGATCGTGGGTCGTATGACTGGCATTTGGCAGCGTTCCTAATTTCAGCCGGTGTTGTAACAGACTGGCAGTGACTGCGTACATACTCATTACGATGATGCATAATTGGGGGAAAAAAAAAATAGATAAGAATCTGCATATTGAGGACTGGAATTAAGGACGAGTGACGAAGAAGGACGAAAAAAGTTAAATCAAAGTGTAGATCTTTTATTTCCAGGTATATTTTTCAGTGTAACGCAATATATTTATCAACGACTCGTATGTACAATTGAATTTTTATGCAAAGATTCATTACGTTTGATGGAATTGTAATCTTATGTAAAAAAAAAAAAAAAAAAAAAAAAAACAAGAGGTACTCAGTTATTTTGAGTTTATTATTAAACCATAGTTGAAAAATCTTCGCACGTTTTGCAGCCAATCTAAATGTAATAGAATGTGTACCTGCAATGCACAAACAGTTACCAGTACACAAAAAAAAAAAAAACCTAAGTATATCGTTTTCAGCTACAGGTCTCGTTTATCCAATTTGAGCCACAATCCACCCACGAACCTCGTACTCGGCGAATCCTTCCTCAACGCGAGTGGCAACCTCGTCTTCCCCGCGAAGCTCAGGCTATACTTGCTCAACAGCTGAGCGAACAATATCTTTATCTCCATGAGAGCAAAGCGCTTGCCGATGCACATTCTCTGGCCAAGACCAAACGGCATGTACGTAAACGGAGTGACTTTATCCCGGTTCTCCTGACCAAAACGCTCGGGTATGAATTTCTCCGGCTCCGGGAAATATTTGGGATCATTGTGCACCCCGTGCATCGGTATTATCACGCTCGTACCAACTTCCACAATGAAGTCCGGGGAGCCCTCCTTGCAGCCTGGGATGGTAATTCTCTTGGTGCACAATCTGTCGGTGAGGGGCGTCGGTGGGTACATTCTGAGCGTCTCGCTGATGACCATGTCGAAATACTTCATGTCCCCCAAGCGTTCGTAGGTGATAACACCGTCGCCACCTTCCAGCATCAGCTCGTCGATTTCTCGTTGGGCTTTATCCTGGACTTTGGGATTGCTCGCCAACGCGTAAGCCAAGGAGCACGTGAGGCTCGACGTGGTATCGAATCCCCCAATGAGGAAAATCAAAGCCTGGCTCACTATGTCCTCGTTGGTCACTTCAACGGGGTCCCTGCTGCGTTTGGCCTGCAACAACGAGTCTATCATGTCCTGTCGGGCGATGCCCAGCTCCTCCCTTGTCCTGACCGTGCCCCCGATCATGCCCTTAAAAAACGCGTCCGTGGCCTTCGACAGGAACTTTACGCCCAAGAGCCGCATGAGTTTCGGCACCAGTCGGAAGGCCAGGAGCTTCCACGAGTTGAGAAACGAGGCCACCTCCTTGCTGTGCCGGTACAAGTTGTTTCCCTGGTCGTTCATGGAGTCAACGTGTATCCCGAAGGCCGTGCTCACTATGGCATCGTTGGCGTACCTGGTGAAGGTGTCCGTCGCCTCGAAACAAGCCGCAACCTCCGGATGCTCCTCAAAGTACCCGACGAACTTTTTCGAGCACTCGGCCACCAGCTTGACCATCCCCTTCATCTTCCTGGCCGTGAAATTCGGTGTCAAGGTCCTCCTCATGTCCTTCCACCGCGCCCCCGTTAGGGAGAAAACGTTGCGGCCCACCACCGGGTCCATGTCCTCGGTGACGAAGCTGTTGTGGTCGTGAAAGTGGTCAAAGTACTTGACGCACACGTCGCGTATGATGACCGGGTCTTTGAGGACGATGACCGGGGTGAGCAGGTCAAAGGAGCCGTAGTAGCGAGCACCCGGGTGGGCGTTGTACAGGTCGATCGTGTGCTCGGCAAAGGCTCGCTCGCGCAAGTAGAAAGGACCGTGCACGCCTATCAGGGTATTCGTAAGGTGCTGGGGAATGCCCCGTGCTCGCCAGTAGTTGCGCTTGTAGATTCCCATCAGTGCCCAGATGACAACGAGGATTGCGGTCGCCAGTGGGAGGAATGCGAGGGCTCCCGCTCTCGTGAGGATCTCCATTGTGTATCGAGTTTTCCGAGCTTTCCTCGAACTGGGTTGCGTTGCACGTTAAGTGGCAATGTCTTCAATTACGTGCTCGCACGGTTCGAAAGCTACTAAGCAAAAGCCAACTCTACTATCGACTATTTATAATACGAGGTTGTAATGAGCGTGCACTTGTATTGATGCGTGCGTGCTCTCGCTCTCTCCGTCCCCACCGTTTGAGCTATTGGTGATTATTTGTTATCTTGATCTTGAAACTCTGCATCGTCACCGGGACTCGTTGGTTGTCTATGAAATTTTAACTACCTAGTCGTTCCCTCCGTCTCAATCACAGTCACTTCTTTTATTTTAAGTAAATGTAAACTATGAGTTTCCGGTATTAAAAGCACATAATTTTTGACATCATTAATAATACAAATGTAACACTCTACGTCTCTCGGGATTATTAAAAATCGGATACATACTGAGTTACAGAATTTTATTGTTACGCTCTACATGGAGAAAAAATTTCTTTGCAGATTCTTTATTTTTAAACAATTTTTTTTTTTACTAGTAGGTCTAAAAGGTCTATACCCTAAAATGAAAATTTTCAAATTTGACTACCAAACTTGGTACTTTTGGGTTAACAAAACTTAATAAGTAGTAGTCAAAGTGTCGAAATAACTCATTTAAAAATTTTCAGACTAGTAACTAATTAATAATATTGATGGATTAGCACATTTGTGAATAATTACCAACACAATTGTTTTTTTATCAGCTAATAATGAGTTACAAAATTTGCTCGTTTGATTAAAATAAAATGAAAAAAAATTTTTGAAGCTCCTTCTGAGGAAAAATGAAAAATATATCGCGAAAATATATGACCCTGCAAATTATGCGAATAAACCCAAAATTTTTGATGTTATTACATTCATAGGCGATGAGGAAAGGAAAGCATTTGTCTTGTTTAATCGAAGACCTGAGATCCTGTGGCTAACTGACTAAAAATTAATTTGTTGATTTAACAACAACTACATCGTAGAATACTACAAAACAAGGATTACTGACTTTTTCTTTCGACTGTCGACAAACGTGTATACCAATAATTTATAATGTCTCCATGCGTATGGTTATGCATACAATCGGGAAGAGGTCCTAAAAAGATTGGTTTGTACATTTTATTCGAACGAGCGAATTTTTTGAAGCATTAATAGCTATAACGAAATCGGTTACATAAATTATTTTACAAATCACGGACTTTTACCTGTACTATGATGGAAAAATTTTGAAACTTTTTTTATTTTGAAACGTCTCGTATTGTTTTAATACACACTTATTTTTCATTGTAAGGGGTGTCAAAATGATGGTCTACGGCACGTACAATAAAGAAATACACTGTTTTTTTTTTTTTTTTTTTTTTTTTTTTTGGAACCAAACAAACAATTCTAGTGATTTCTTATTATTCATGCAAGTCTTTTTCATGTATGCGATACTTTAAAGAAGTTGTATCGGTTACAGAATGAACAATGAAAATTCGATGAAAATTTGTTTCCAAAAGAATCAAACCATGAAAATGGCGCAGTCAAAATTTGAAGGGACGGGGGTTCCCAAGAACCGAGTAATTAATATCAACATTCAGCCTATCTACTTTAAGGTGCGGTACTAAAAATTGATTTTGCTCAATACTTTGTAAGCATCTTGAATTACACTGGGATCGGATCGTTGAACTTTGAAAGGATTGTTAAATAGTTCGAGTAGAAAAAAAAAATCCACTAATTATCTATTTTCTATTATCTATTTCGTAGAACACTTCAAGCAAGTTCTACATAAATTATAGCTCGAAGCTTTAGAACATTATGTATGTATTAAAATCATCGATAAGAACTGAAAGTTCAACGCACTAAGCAATTTATTAATTTTTTAAGCTCTACTGTAGTAAAATATAGCTAATCGCGATGTAGTGATTAAAAGACAATTTTTATAAATAAACTCGTCAACTTTTACTAAATCTCAGCATACTGCTCTCTCACGACGATTGTGAAAAATTTTGTTTTTGCTTTTTTGGTGTAAGAAAAAATTATTATTTAGATCCATGATGGAATAGGTTTTTCCTTCACAGCTTTAATAATTTTTTTTTAATACGTTTTCATTACTACTTGATTAGAACGCGATTAATTAAATCTAAGGCAGAGTCCATCACTAACGACGACCAAAGTTGTTGTATTATTAAAATTTCTGAGTTCATCGTACAAATCGTACCGATCGATACGAAGCAACATTAAATGCTTTTTATCTAAGCGTACGAGGTTCAGTAAACTCGTAGTAAAAACCTTATCGAAAAGTCTATTGCCAAAGGCCTTTTCCTGTTTGTATTTATATTTTTATTTCGAATGGCTGCAAGGTTGTTAACCTTCGGAAAGCGCACGCTCAACTTTTATAAGAGTCATTATCAACAATTTTTTTATGAAAATTCTAATGAAAAATTAAATGAAAAGTCAAGATAAAATCAAATTGCAACTGTACAATTTACTTTGGATGAATGAAAATCAACGGCTAGAGAATGTCGATGAAAAATAGGAAAAATACAAACAAACATATGTACCCACTTAGATGTAATTATTTATAATAAAATGTATGTTTCAAACTTATATTAATCAAACTAATGTAGCGGTAATTTTGGGAGAAAAAAAATAACGACACTCCTAGCTGACTAAGTATTTTTTAAACTTTTTAAAAGTACAAATTACATGGTTTTGTTTTATTTTTGCAATTTTTATTCGCGCATCTACTCGAATAAGTGATAGCTGCGACTCCATGTTACATGCGATAAGAGTTTATTTTTAAGCTAACCAACTGTGGCAGGCAATAAACTACTAGAGAGACATAAATTGTGATTGCAAGTACATAAATTAAAAGTTATAAACGTAACTCAAAGCTAAGAAGTTTTATTTTAATCAAATACCTTTTTTAAAAAACACAACGCTTTATAATTTTGATAACTGAATTTCTGCAACGTACCTATTTGACGAATAACGCAACAAAATCAATAAAGGTACTCGAAAAAGAGAAATTTTTCTGAAGGAAAAGTCCCCTCTTTTTGACATTGCAATCGTCTTTTCCATCGCGCGGAGTCTCGGTGATTTATTTTGCTCTCGAAAAGCAGCTGGGTATTTCACTCGTCAATGGCTTATGAAACGAGAGTGCAGTATACACCAGAGAATGATAACGAAAAATTGAAAGAAAGTACGACGGTTGCGGAATTTTCCGCACATTTTCGTCCTGCCAGTGGCTTCTACTTCCGTTAAAATCCATCTCAACGAGAAAAGTATGTGCAAGGGCTTTGGAGCGTCCCAACGACGAATTTTTTATTTCAGTGCGCTTGAAATTATTTTCCTCACTCCAAACAATTTTTCTGTCGGTTTATGGCAGTTTTTTAGATGGATCGTCGAAAAAATCTTTGATACGAATTTTTCTACATGTATTTCATAAAAATGGTTTTTGAACCTTGAAATATTAGACACCAATGTGACGCAAAATAATTTTTTTGGCATTTACAATACTCGTCAAATACTTACTCATCAAATTTTTGAATAATCTATTCATAATCCACGAACAAAAGCCTCGTCGCATTTTTTAGGGAAAAGTTGAATTATTCGATTCAACTAGCTATTATATATCAAGTGAACAGTGGCGTACAGGCTAATAACGCTCACGTAACCAAATCATAAATAGATAAATTTTAGGGAAACTCCAAACCGAAAATAGAGCCAAATAGTGAGTATGAACCTGCACGCGAGGCAGAGTTTCAAATTTTTCTTTGTTCAAATTTTCCAGCGCCTACGGTGGTTCTCTTTATTCCGAGCCAAACGCAACCCAACGCAGCAAATTGGCCAAATTTGCATTCTTTTAAAAAGTCCACCGAGCCAAAATGGACGGATTTGTATGTTAAACAATTCCTTCCATCAAACTTTTTTATCGACGCCTATGTGTAGCTTAACCCTTACTTGCGAATTCTTATTACATTACTCGTCTTTTAGTGGATTGAACAAAAAAAGGAAGCTACCAAAGGGACTTAAAACTAAAAAATTTAATAATAGACGCTGTAATAATAATTTATTTACCAACGATATTATTATTACGTGGCATCTGAACAATAGATTCAAGTAGACGTGTATGGAGATAATATGCAGATGCTTCCATAATTGTGTAAAGACTTTAAAAGGTAACTTCTATTTGAACAAGTTTGTGAAGCACAAACGTTCATACTCACACATACATTTCTTTAACAATCACTTCCTTTGCCTGGCAGAGGTGAAATAAGTACAAAAGATTTGAAAAACGTTAATAAGCAAATCAAAAACCAAAAAATTGCAATTCAACTTTGATGGTTTTAGCCACACACACGGTCATGTGCATGCATGGATGTAAAAATAACATGCAAGAATTATTAGTTGATACATCCTTAAACATATTGAATCTGAACTTGCTAGAGTTTTACATGTTAGTATGAACTACAGAAACATTTTTTGAACGAAGTAAAAAAAATATGCAGCGGGTGAGCAGAAAACTTTGATATCTTGAAACTATGACTTTCCATAACTAAACACGTTATCCAATGTGCATGATATTATTTTTGTCAGAAAAAGAAAAAATTTTCATTCGGAAAAAGAAACAGTTTGAAATTACTAAAACTTGATGGTTATACCCCTCTCATCCTCCAATGGAAACACTGAATAGTCCTATTCATAAACTCATCCATTCAGCTTTTAACGTGTGTGGCAAAACTAGCCGAACGAAAGTCCGAGAAGTGAGAGAGCAGTGGAGCACATGGCAAAAAAAATTTCAAGCATATATACAGTTGTATGCACTCGCAAAAAAGATCGAGAAAATATTGCTAAACTCGGGTCGAACAGTCGAATGAATTGAGTCATTCTATGCCACATAGCACTGTGAAAACATCGTTGCGCTCTTTTCAGTTACATTTGGTGTTTCAATCGCTGCGTTGTGCTAAATATTTTCTTTTTTTCGGAAAAACTACG